CTGTTGATCTGCAGTCAAACGCTCTACCACTGAGCTATACCCCCATGACATGCTGTGACTTTTTACCTTGACTCTGTCCTGCTCAAATCAGCATGTCTACAGTATTCATTTGTTTATCACACATATTTATTAGTTGTTTTTAAAAACCTAATATTTTGAGGGTAAAAAAATGACGAATCAAGCAGAAAATTTGAGTCAGAGTTAATCATAATAATGTCACGTCAAGTCAAGTAAAGCTTCTTTGTTGTCATTCACAGTACCATTATAAAAATGGCATTTGCAAACAATATTGAAATTTAACAAAACTCATATCACCTCTTTTGTATTCTTCTTGCAAAAACTCAAGAAAAGCCATGAAGATACTAAACATGATCAACAATTGTTCTCTTGCAAAAAGTGAGGCCACATTCAGAATTAGAATTGAGTTTTAAATGTTTAGATTAATGCTCTGACATTGAGAAACTCACTGTGTCATCCTAGATTATTATAATTGAAAAATGTTGTTTTTCCTCCCTTAATTTATACTTATTTTGTGGCAATTTTGAATGTTTAAAAAGCAAATAAATGTGTAAAGGTTTTCAACAATTGTTGTTGTTTTCCAATTTCAGAACATCAGGGAGCATCCAGAGTTGAACTGGAGACCTGTTGATCTGCAGTCAAACGCTCTACCACTGAGCTATACCCCCATGGTCATTTGCTAATTTTTTATCTTGACTCTGTCCTGCTCAAATTAGCACATCTACAGCTTCATTTGTTTATCTCAAACATTTCATAATTGTTTTTATGAACCTAATATTTTGAAGTTCCTAGCGAGACGAGTCTATCAGGAGATTTAAGTCCTTAACTGACTGGAGTTGTCATAATAAAGTCAAGTCAAATAAAGATTCTTGTCATTTGCAATACCAATAAAAAAAAAATGGCATAAGAAAATATTATCAAAATTTAGGAACAGTCATTTCACCTCTGTTGTATTCTTCTTGAAATATACCTCAAGAAAAACTAAAAAAAAAAAGCCACAAACATGGTCAACAATTGTTCTCTTGCAAAAAGTAAATCCACATTCAGAATTAGAATTGACACTTTGATGTGTAGATTAATGTTTTGATATTGAGAAATGCCCCCGTGTTATGTTAGAATGATATAATTGAAAAAAGTTGTTATTGCTCCTTTTAATTTATGGTTAATTTTGTGGCAATTTGTAAAGTTTAAAAACAACAAAAATCTGTAATGTTTCCCAAACAAGGTTAATAATTTCCACATTCAGAGATACAGGGAGCATCCAGAGTTGAACTGGAGA